CAACATCATCATCATCATCATCATCATCATCATCACCATCATAATCATCATCGTCATCAGCATCAGCAGCAGCATCATCAGCAGAAGCAATATCATCATCATCACCACCACCACCACCGACATCATCATCAGCACCATCATCATCAGCAGCAGCAGCATAATGAGCACATTCATCATCATCATCACCATCATCATCATCGTCATCAGCAGCAGCATCATCATCGGCATCATCATCATCATCATCATCATCATCATCATCATCGTCGTCATCATCATCATCATCATCATCATCATCATCGGCAGCAGCATCATCATCAGCATCGTTATCAGCATCATCATCATCAGCATCATCATCAGCATCATGAGCGTCATCAGCATCTTCATCAGCATCATCAGCATCATCTGCATCATCATCAGATTCATCAACGTCATCATTATCATCATCATCATCATCATCATCATCAGCATCAGCATCATCATCATCATCATCAACATCAACATCAACATTATCATCATCATCATCATCAGCAGCAGCATCATCAGCAGCAGCACCATCATCATCATCATCATCATCAGCAGCAGCATCATCATCAGCATCAGCAGCATAAGTATCAACATCCTCATCATCATCAGCATCATCATCATCGTCATCATCATCATTATCATCATCATCAGCATCATCATCATCAGATTCTGCATCATCATCATCATCATCATCATCATCGTCATCATCATCATCATCAACAGCATCATCATCATCAGCAGCAGCAGCATCACCACCACCACCATCATCATCCGCATCATCATCAGCAGCAGCATTATCAGCATCATCATCAGCAGCATCATCATGATAAACATCAGCATCATCATCCTCATCACCATCATCAGCATCATCATCATCATCCTCATCACCATCACCATCATCGTCATGATAGTCATCATCGTCATCGTCATCAGCATAATCAGCATCATAATCAGCATCAGCATCAACATCATCAGCATCAGCATCATCATCAACATCAGCATCATCATCAGCCTATGCATATTTGTCCTCCCTCCGCCTTCCTCCCTCCTCCCCCTGCCCCTCCCCCTCCTCACCCTCCTCCTCTTCCTCCTCCTCATCCTTCTCCTCCTCCTCTTCCTCCTGCTCATCCTCCTCTTCCTCCTTGTACTCTTTCTCACCCTCATCCTCCTCCTCCTCCGCCGCATCCTCCTCCTCCGATTCCTCCTCCATCCTCCCCCGCATGGGGTATGGCGTCTTACCCAGCCCTTTATTCCACTGCATGGTCCTCAACATCCCTGATCGAGGCAGCTCGTCTGAGCATCGATTCTGGATGGGCTGGTGGGGTCACGCGAAGCGTCTAGAAGCTTGAGCTTGAGCTGTAGCTCTGGCTTCGGTTCAGGCGTTGGCTTCCTTGACGCTGACTTGATCTGGACGGGCTACTGAGGAATCCTACCAGACAGTACTACGAGGGACGCTGAAAGTCAGCGTGTGGATGTTTGACAAGAGTAGCAAGAAAATCAAGCCCTGGCCGGAGCTGTAGATGTAGTTCCAGCTTGTCCGCCACCACCAATCCTCCAAGCCTCAATCCTCATTCCTGAAGAATCCTTGAGGGGGCCAGACCCAAAATTCTCAAATATGAGTGGGCTTGTCGCGGTTCCCCGCAGCTTGTCGAGTGACTTTCTGGGGCCCAAGAAGGCTCCAAAACGGGCAAAGAGAGCCCCAAGGGGGCTGCAAGACTGGCCAAGAGTGATCCGACTCGCCGAAAGATCGCGACAAGACCCCCACGGCGGCCCCACGACGGTCCACGAGGCCTCTCAGAGGGCCCTAAGAGGCCAAAATCATTGACTTGCCTCAGGTTGTTGACGGATGACGGGAAGCGCTCCTGGCGTGGACCGTTTGTTGGTGGTAAAAACTAATAATCGGGTACGCGCCGCACTTTGAAACTGCGCTGGCGGATGACGGGAAGCGTCTTCGAGGTACGAGAAGCAAGCGGGACGTTCTGGCTGAATCCTTGAGTAAATATATCTTTTCTTTAACTATATGGGTTGCCGCGCTGCACGGGATTTTTCGTTAGCGGATTCCCAAAAATGGCCATTTCGCCTGAGACATCCTCCTAAAATCGAGGTGTAAAAGGCTATCGTTTAAGACGTCTTATGTTAAAAATGACGGTTTCGCCTGAGACATCCTCAGAAAGTCGGGGTGTTGAAAAATGTCAAGGATTTTTGTTGTGCATGAAAAATGAGCGTTTCGCTTGAGACATCCTCGAAAAAATGAGATGCCGACAGAGGTGTTTTACAACCTCTTATGTTAAAAATGACGTTTTCGCTAGGGACGTCCTCAGAAAATGAGCAGGAGCACGGCAGGCGGAAAAAAAGGAGCACGGCAGACCACACAAGAGCACGGCAGACCCCACAAGAGCACGGCAGACCCCACAGGAGCACGGCAGACCCCACAGGAGCACGGCAGAGCAGACCCAAAAGGAGCACGGCAGACCACACAGGAGCAAGGCAAACCACAGGAGCACGGCGCTCCGTAGCCATTTTGGCTCAAGCCAGCTTGTTCAGGCGTGCTTGGGCAGGCGATGGCGCGGGAGGTTCTGCGGGGCGCGGCTGGTGCCCGTGCCTCGGCAGACCGTCTGGTGCAGAAGTTGGTCAAGCAGCACGCGGAGGCCCGCGAGGAGGCCGCCTCCCTGAGGCGCTCCCTTCGGCAGCTCCTGGGCGGCTTCGAGGTTCTCATCGGGGACGCGGAGCTGGCGGACCGCGTGGCGGCGCTGATTCCTGCCTTGCGCGCACTCCTTAAGGGCGAGACGCCCTCGCCCGAGGACGTGCTCAGGCGCAACGTCGCGCTACACGCCGACGCCGAGGGCGAGAGCGTGGCAGAGGCGCGGCCCGCGCGCCTTCGGCAGATGCAGAGGAGTGCGCGTCTCGAAGCTCGTCTGCAGGGCGTCGGTGGCGCGGAGGTGCTCGGGCGGAAGCCGTATGCCGTGGCGGGCAACCCGGCCGTGCTTCGCGAGCAGGCTGCCCCGTTCTGGCCGCGGCACCCCCCAGGAGTCTGGGAGCAGCTGGGCGGCGCCGGCTGGGAGAGCCGGACTGCGAGCGGTGCTGCACGCGCGGAGGCGCGGCCGCCGCGGGCGCGGGACGCCTTCCTCACGGTCCAGAGCGTTGGGCCTTGGGAGACGCTGCCCCCCGTGTCCATCCGCTGCACGTGTGGCGCCGTGGTCTACGCCTCGGCTGGTCTTCACGCGCGTGCTGACGCTGTGGCTGGTGCTGGAGGGCCCCTGCCGGCGGGCTCCGCGGGCTCGAGTGGTGGTCACGTTGAGGCCGTCTCCAGCCCCGTGGGCAATGCGGCCGACTCGGCCGAGTTCGACTACCTGGAGGTGGGTGCTGCCGAAGCTGAAGTGGATACGGCCTGTTCGGTGTCGGAGGCGGCGCCACAGGCCAGCACTGCGGTTCTGGCGTACCTGCACGCTCACCCTGCGGCGCTCCTCTCGGGAGGCGGCGGGGCCCTCGCGGCTCCTGTGGCTGGCGGCACTGGTCCTGGCGCTGGTTTCGAAGGCAGCCGCGTCCGCAGGAAGCGTGGTGCAAGCACGGGGCGGCGCGCCCGTCGCGTCCGCTTCGACCTGCGTCCCGTCGTCATCGGCACGGCCTTCGAGGAGGAGTCGGAGGAGGCCCCCCCGCGCGGAGGCGGGGCTGGCGGCGTGGACGAGCCCGTCCGCGGTCTCTGGGCCTTTTTGGACGGCCTCTCGGTAGCTTCGATCGCCTGTGTTGCTCACGGGCCCTCGCTCGCGCTCGAGAGGCTCCTCGTCCTTGCCGAGGCCCAGGTGCAGGACGGTTAGCCTTGCGTGCGGACG